TCTGTGTCTGAGCTGGGATTCAAACCCTGGTCTCCAGAATTGTAGTCGAATGCTCAAACCACTATGCTATGCTGGCTCTCATATAGCTGTGTTTTGTTTTTCTGATGATAAACGTATCTTCATTAAAATGCCTTGTTGGCTTGAAATATCTTTATAGGATTCTGAGCGAGACAAATGCTTAAAATTGGACTTTACTAGTAACAATCCTTAACTGAACTAACATTTAATTTATTCCTTTCTTTTGTCCATCATGCTGAAATTAAGGGGGCAAACTGTTTTCCTTGTGTCCTCAAGCAGCCCACTGCCTAACATGTTTCCTGACCTTTTTCCTCTCCAGGAAACAAATGCTCCCTGAGCTCTAGGAGCAAATCTTGTTTGCTGGTGCTCCTAGGAAAAAAGAACTTTAGAAAGATCCATTGTATGCCTCTATTTGCAGTGAGGACGGGCTCATTTTATGAAGAGCATGGTGGTAATAAGGCCATCTTCCACATCACAGCAAACCTGGGTTGTTGGCCACCAAGTGTGAAACTAGACAAGGAGGTAGAGATGATTATGAGTCTGTGGCTCCTTTGCCAGTTCTTAAGCATTTGGTTTCTCCATTCTCTGTTGTTGCTGCTGCTGTTGAGTGCATTCAAGTCATTTTAGGCTTATGGCGACCCTAAGACAAACCTATCACAGGATTTTCTTGCAGCTTTTTTTCAGAGGGGGTTTGCCATTGCCCATTGTCATCCTCTGAAGCTGAGAGGGTGTGACTTGCTCAGGGTCACCCAGTGGGTTTCGTGGCTGAGCTGGGATTTGAAGTCTGTTCTCCAGAGTCATAGTTCACTGCTCATGACTAAACCATTCTCTTCTCCATTCTCTACGGTTGAAAAATTGTTTGGGTGAATTGGTCAGTGGCTACTGGTCATGGTGGCTATATAATATCTCCAGGTTCAGAAGCAGCATGCTTCTGAGTGCTAGTTGATGGCCAACAAGAGTTGGAAGGAGTTTTGTCCTACATGCCTGGGCTTTCAGTATGAAGGCAAGAAGAGCCCTAGTCTGGCCTTCTTTTCCCCACTGTAGTCAATTCTAGTGGATGCTAGAATTGACTACAGTGGGGAAAAGAAGGCCAGACTAGGGCTCTTCTTGCCTTCATACTGAAAAAGCATAGTGCCATGCAGGCTTTGGGATTTTGCAAGCTGTAGTCCACAAAGTAATTTTTACACCTTGTGGAGGTGATATGACTATGCATATATTTGTGGTGATGCAAAAATAAAAAATGTAAGAATGGGAGAGCTTCCATTTGAACCCTGATATGAAAGAGACACCTCTCCAAATGTTATGAAGTGATATTTATTCTTTTTAAAAGCCCTTTGTAAATAGTGGGCTTTAGATCACTATCATCACCATCCTTTTGTGAGATCTTGAAATATGTTTCTTTCATAGGTGCTGGTTGCTGTTGTTGCTGTGTGCCTTCAAATTGTTTCCAACTTATGGTGACCCTAAGAGAAAGAAAATGATGTTGAGGCAGCTTAATAACTGATCAATATATTATGGCATAAAACATTCCTGAAAGACAGTAGGGTATAGTGGTTGGAGTGTTGGACTACAACCCTGGAGATCAGGGTTCAATTCCCCACTCAGCCATTGAAACCCACTGGGTGACCTTGAGCAAGTCACAGATTCTTAACCCCCCCTCCAAAAAAAAACATGATAGGTTTTTCATAAGAAGGAAATGAAAGCACGCAACAACAAAACATTCCCAGATTAGAATCCACTTGGTTTGGATTTCTAGTTCAAACAACCTCACACACACATTGAAAAAACATGGGTACGATACTCCTGGGTCCAGTTGCCTTCTCAGTGTGTGAATGGCAGGAGAGGTATCCATTCAGGTATCCATCCATTGAGAACTGGCCCCACACACTGAAGTACACACTGGGCTCCCACTACACTGGGAAGTCCTGGGACAAGCAGGTTCCCTCGCCCAGTCAAAGACAATGTACACTGGCTTATAATGCTGATGACCCTCTGATATGTTCTTGTGAGTGAACCAGACCTCTGTGATCACACTTGCTTCCAGACATGTGTTTGTCTCAGATTCATATGTTCCGTCATGACTTTTTGAAAAGGTAACATGTGAAGCAAGCCCCAGTGATTCAATGTCCCTCTATTTTTGGCAATGCCACTATCTTCCTGCCCAGGATGACTGCATGGCAAGATCTTGTCTCAGACGCTCTGAGAATAAATAGCATTTGATGGCCTGGCCCACTCTTTTTGCACACTCGATGAATCCCAAGCACTTCAGGTCAAGTACATTATTTTCAAATGGAGAAGAGAAAGGCTCTTTTTAATTGGGAGCTGCTTTTGTTGTTACCTACAATAACATCCAAAATCCACAAAACAGTGGATCCAATAAATGTATCACTGTCTTGTGGATTTTGGATGTTACTGTACTTTGCTAGCCAGTGTGGCATAGTGGTTAGTGTTGGATTAGGACTCTGGAGACCAGGATTAGATTCCCTGCTCAACTATGAAACTCGCTGGGTGACCCTGGGCAAATCACACTATCTCAGCCTTAGGGAAAGTCAATAGCAAACCTTCTCTGAATAAATCTTGCCAAGAAAAATAGGGTTGCCTCAGGGTTACCCTAAGTCCTAAATGACTTGAAGGCACAAAACAACACATTGCTAGTGGAGAGTGGGTGTGATATAGTAGTTTGAGTGTTGGACTATGACTCTGGAGACCAGGGTTCAAATCCCAGCTCAGTTTTATAAACCCATTGGGTGAGCTTGGGCAAGTCACACACTCTCATCCTCAGAGGATGGTAATGGCAAACCCCCTGTGAAGAAACTTGCCAAAACAACTCTATGATAGGGTTGCCATAAGTCAGAAACGACTTGAAGGTACAGAACAATATGGTCAGCAAGCTACCCCTGAATATGTTTTGTTGCTATGGCTTACTTTTAGTCTCCTTTTTTTAAAAAAAAGTTATTAAGGTCTGAAATACACTGCAGAAATAATCCAGTTTGAGATCACTTTAATTGCCTTGGCTCCATGCTAGGGAATTCTAGGAACTGTAATTTTGTGAGACATTTAGCCTTCTCTGTCAGAGGTAGCTCTGGTACCACAATAAGCTACATTTCCCAGGATACTCTAAATTTTAAAGCACTGAGCCAGTTAAAACGGTCTCAAAGTGGAGTATTCCTGCAGTGTGTTTTGGATCTAAATGGTGAAGATGAGCTAATGCACCCGACTGGGGCAAGGAGGCTGAGTACAAAGTTGGACCAACTTTCAGCCAAAGCTAGTAAAAAAATTTCCTTTCCTCCCTGGTGCATTCCTTTTCCTCCTCCATCTTTTTCCATCCATTCCCAAACAAGACAGTTTCACTTTCATTTGACATCTGTGAGGGAAAAATGGGGGGGGGGG